AGAGGGGCTGGCAGCCATCTCGTTAGAAAAAGGCCTCTCACCTTCCAGAGGCTTCTGTTGTTTACTGTATTGAGAGCCTAAGAATTCATTTATCTCATTGCCTGCTCTTGACCGGCATCACCAAACTTCAGGCAAGGCAGGCTCCTACCTAGTCATGCTGGGCACTGTATTCTGAAAGTCTGACGTGCTTGAAACAGAACCTCTTTTGTTGATCATCATCTCTCAGCAGTATTGACTCTCCGTGCTACTTTCTCTTCCTCTGGTTGATGTGCCATCAAGCATCCATCCTTTGCCCAGATATGTTCACTGTGCCTTCTAAAATTTCCATTCCATAGTAGTAAGCCCACCTGCCTTATTGACCTATCATTCCTGGGCTCAACTCGAGTCTCACATTCCCCTAAGACACAACTTCTCCATAGGAACTCTGGAATGGATGCTTTCTATAATATGAGTGTTATAGAAAGTTTGGGAAATATAAAAAAGTATTAATGCAATAAAGAAAAACAGTTTTGCGTTATTCTATAATTCAGATAAAATCACTATAAGTATTTTACCGTTTTCTTTCCTGTTCCTTGGTAATTTTCATATGTCTGTGTATATGTGTATATCAATATGCCTATGTATATAAAGCATTTCTAGAAAAACAGGATCATATCATTTTAACAAACAAATTGGGGTATTTTTATACAACAACATAGATGAACCTCAAAATAATTATGCTGAGTAAAGGAAGCCAGACAAATAAATGTACACACTATAATTCTATGTCTATAAATCTTTAGGAAATGCAAACTAATCTTTATTGAGAGAGCAGATCAGTGACTGCTTGGAGATGGGAGATCAGGGGTATATGGAAGGAAGGGAGGGATGGATATGTTTACTATCTTGATAGGATTGTATCATTTAAAAAGTTCCCCTTTCATTTCAAAATACATAATAAATGTTTTCCTACATTGTTACCTTTTAATAGCATGGTTTTATTTAATTAATTAATTAATTAATTAATTTTTGAGTTGGAGTCTCACTCGGTCGCCCAGACTGGAGTGCAGTGGCCGCTCCCGGCCACCGCAGCCTCGACCTGCTGGGCTCCGGTGATCCTTCCACCTCAGCCTTCCGAGTAGCCGGAATTACAGGCGTGCGTTACCACGCCTGGCTGATTTTTTTATTTATTGTAGAGATGAGGTCTCGCTGCCCAGGTGGGTCCCGAATCTGCGGGCTCAGGCAATCCACTCACCTTAGCCTCCCAAAGGCGTGGGATTACAGGCTGAGCCACCGAGCCCGGCTTAATAACATGATCTTAAATTTCTGCAAAGTAGTCTATGAAATAGGTATAAGATAATTTAGTTAGACAGCTTTCTAGTACAGAACACTTATATTGTTTACAATTTTCTTTATTTCAAAGAATGCTCTGATGAACATCATGAACATTCTCAGCCTTGGCAAACCACATGAGGGGAATGGGAGTCACCAGCTGCTGAATAAATGTATACACACACATACAAGGATGAGAATGCCAATAAACCAGCATTGGATAACACTTATTCCTACTGGTTCTTGCTTGCTTTTGGATCCACGTAAAGGATTGGGGAAGACTAGAGGTGGTAAAAGTAGTATATGCTAGCACCAGCAATATTTTATACAGATGATTATTTGGGAAATTGATGTTAAGAATGCCATATCAGCTGGGTATGGTGGCTCAAGCCTGTAATCCCAGCACTTTGGGAGGCCAAGATGAGAGGATTGCCTGAGCCTGCAGATTTGGAACCAGCCTGGACAACATGGTGAGGCCCCGTCTCCACAATAAATCAAAAAAATTAGCCAGGTGTGGTAGCACGTGCCTGTAGTTTTGGCTACTTGGAAGACTGAGGTGGAAGGATCTCAGGAGTGCAGCAGGTCGATGCTGGAGTGACTGTGAGTGTACCACTGTACTTCAGCCTGGGTGACAGAGTGAGACTCCAACTCAAAAACAAAACAAAACAAACAAACAAAAACAAAGAATGCCATATCACACAAGTTACATATTCTTGCTTTAAATCAGGATTAAAAATACACGATTTACCTATTTTTTTTTGAGTCGGAGTCTCACTCTGTCGCCCAGACTGGAGTGCAGTGGCCACTCCCGGCCACCGCAGCCTTGACCTGCTGGTCTCCAGCGATCCTTCCACCTCAGCCTTCCAAGTAGCTGGAACTACAGGCGTGTGCTATCCTGCCCGGATGATTTTTGATTTATTGTAGAGATGAGGTCTCACCAAGTTGCCCAGGCGGTTCTTGAACCCGCAGGCTCAGGCTATCCACTCACCTCAGCCTCCCAAACCGCGGGATTACAGGCTGAGCCACCGAGCCCGGCTTACAATTTATCTTTTAATGAGGAAAATGTAAAGATATAGTGGACCAGTTGAGGTTTGAACATACAAAATAGTTACATGTCATGAGCTTTTGAGTCAAGTAAATTTTAAATAGTGAGATATTAAAATAGCAATAAAGTCTCGCAAAACGTGAAACAATTTAAATTCCCTATATTTAAAAATTAGCCCCAAATTACACATTTTTATAGCAAGTGCACTGTGAGTCTTGTTTACACCATTGTCATATGACTAGCCCATGGAAGAGAAATACCCATCACTCTTTATCAATATCATGGGAATTAAATTTTTTCCACATGCAGAAAAATTTTGATAACTGATGATGATTGCTATTTTATATTCTAGTGTTTTCTTCTTCTTCTTCTTCTTTTTTTTTTTTTTTTGAGTTGGAGTCTCACTCCGTCGCCCAGGCTGGAGTGCAATGGCATGCTCACGGGCATCCCAGCCTCAGCCTCCCAAAGTGCTGGGATTACAGTCTTGAACCACCGTGTCCGGTCCTATGTTTTATTATTCTGATGTTATTATAATTGTAAATATTTGTATTTTCTTATCTAGCAAACACTCTTAACTGGTAGTAATGGTACAAGTACTAAAAAATGAACCTGAAATCCAGTAACTTTGAAACACGAATGAGATGTGGTTAAAAAGCTACTAAGAAGACAAATAAATGAGACATATACAGTGCTATTAATTTAGAAGAGAGCACTCTGCCAAATATTAAAGAGAATGTTAAAAAAATACAGAGCAGCATTAATGCAAAAATGAGTGAGAAGAGCAGTAGATTTAACAGTTTTGTAATGCATCCTCTCTAATTTATGTTTGTTGTGGGGAAAAGAAGTAATTCTAAAATAATGTACATTTTGGATAATGCTCTCTTTACGTATGCATCCTTTAGAGAAAATATGTCATGTAGGAATTGTTTTAGGTAAATTCGGGTGAGGAAATCCTGGAGATATTTGGAAATACAATGTTGGAATTCAAGAAAGAGGTGAAATCTGGAGCTATGAAGCTGTAGGTTATCTGGGTAAGACTGATAGTTTAAATCATGAGAGAGGATGAAGTTGCCAAGCAGAGTTTGAAGCTACCAAATTCAGGGTAGAAAGAAGCAGCAGAAACCAAGGGCACTTCCTGAGAACCTAGAATGTATCAAGAAGGTTCCATGCACATTCTTATAACATCTCATTTAATCCTCTCCCGTGTCTGACTGTTATGTATACCTGCTTGTTTAATGAGGGCAGCAAGAAGTGAAAAGTGAAGCAGCTGGGCCCAGGTTTTGCAAGTCTGTCTAACTTCACCCCTTCCTTGAGAAGCATGAGATCAAGGCATGAGTTAGGCAGACAGAAAATTCAACTGCATACATTTTAAGTTGGAGAGGAGGGAAATTGAGGTAACCCAGATGAAACGGACAGTGCTCACTGCCTCAGTAAATGACCCCACCATCCACCCAGTTAACCAAGTCACAAATCTGGGTGTCTTCATTCTTTATCTCTTTCTTACTCCACATCAAATCCATCAGCAGGTCCTGGAAGTTCTATCTCCAAACTATATCTTTTTCAATCGTGTCTGCTGCCCACTAGCTTAGACCAAGACATGCTAATCTTTCCCTAGAAAGCTCTGGTTCACTTCCTATCCTGTGACCACTCTTGCCTAACTGTATCCCACCTACAGCAACAACATGCCACCCTAGACAACCAGGATGCCCCTCCTAGTGCAACAGCACCTGCCATTGCTCACCATGTCCTCTGAATCGGTCAACTAAAACAAAGACCTTTTCTCAGTCTTCATCCTCATTGGTCTTTCTGCAGCATTTAGAATGGCTGCTCATATCTTCTTCTTCTCTGTGATACCTAGTGGTTTTCTTACTTTCTTGGCCATTTCTTCTGGTGACTGAAATATTGGCAAAACCTCTAAGCATGAGTGATGAGGTGTCAACACTTGAGTCAATCTCCTTGGTTCAAGTAAAGACCCTCATCTGGCTGTTAGTCCCACCCCTCTAAAATTCCATCAGTAAGGGCCCATCACTGAAGTCAATCAGAGAAACCTAATGCTGATAGAAAAAAATTGAAATTGTCTGGGCACTATTCTATAGTAGGGACTGTCTACTCCCATGTGCTGGCTGAGTACTTGGATAGTGTCTACAAATGTCCACTGGATTCACCTGTCCAGGTATCCTTTCTGTAACTTACTATAAACTAGAACTTTGACTTGGGTTCTTAAAATAGACTAGCTAGAGAGACCAATGCTGCATTGTACAGGTATTTTAAACATAAATAATGAGCAGATATAATTAAAGTGAGGATTCTGTGTTAATTACCAATACCTCCTTACCTGGGCATTGGGGAAAACCAATGATTGGTTTGTCTGTACAAAGTTCAGGCACTTAGCTCTCCTTTAGCAATATTTCCTGTCTCTTACAAAATGAAAATAATTATTTTCTCATAAGGAAATGGCCATCTCTTATAGGTTGTGAGCAGATCCTAGTTTCACTCTTTCCTGTGTAGATGAATACACTAATTTTTGTTCTCTTTTGAGTCTATTTTCACTTTGATTTTGATTAGGGATAGTGTATGGTTGTTGGGACAACAGACTACACATGTGAGCAGACCCTGGATAAAGTAGGGAAAAATCATGACCACATTTCAGCTTAGAACCTTCTTTATTAAGGAAGGTCCTGCAGGCACTTTTATTAACAGGCAGTATAAGCTTAGCAAGAGCACCTCTCAAAGTCACAGTTCGAATGGTTTTTATGAGGTCAACCAGAAGGCAGAGAGCACATTGATGGTGGCTTATCATCAAAACCATGACAATCAAGTTGTGACCTATGCCTTCTGTCAGACATAACCATCACCCCCCACCCCCTGCTTCTTTCCTCTGAGGAATGAAGGGAAGTTGGGATTCAAGACTTGATATTAATCTAGACCACATGTGACACTTACTTAGACAGCAGACAAGGTCCCACCTGTGCCCAGGCTTGGACAAAATGGTAGCTATGTTCTTTGTGCCAAACCTTCTCGTCTCTGCTGTGTCTGGCCTAGACTTTGAAGTATCTGACTCTTCCTGGGCATAGGGGAGCCACTGGACCAACACCAGCAACCACACTGGGTTGAGCCACGTTGGCTGTTCTCCCTGGGTGGAATGCTTCTCCTGAGGCTGACTCCACCGAGGCCACCCCTGGGAAGGTATGGCGCAGGTCGTAGTGTGCCCGGTGTACTGGAAGTCCTGGGTGAGCTGCCATCACCTGGGGTCCTACCACCAGGGAAGCTACAGGTGGGCCAGCTGGAGGGGACACAGGAGCAGCTGGGTCCACCACAGGGTTGGGGCCTTCTGTGTTGGCGCCGTCTGGTTGGGGCTGTGGGACCACAGGCTGGAGAGAGGACAATTTCCTTTGGTTAGTTTGCTTCCTCCTCCCAGACAAGGCCACCCATGGATCTGGCTGGCACTCCCACTCAATTCTCTCATATTAAAATTTTTTATTTGCAGAGCATCGGGCAAAAAAAAAAAAAAAGACTCTCTAGGTACAAAAGATTGTCAGCAGGGACTGGGCTATGGTGGCCCCGTTCTTACCAGAATTATCTTGGTGATAGTGGACTTACACACACATGCTCCATGAGTAAAAGCGCCCCACCTATGGCTAACCTACACCAGCAGTGTCACCTTCTTTGTCATCTGAACTTGCAGCCACTGGAAGTTGTCAGACAGACGTGACCGCCTAGTTTCTGCAACTCAGAAAACCACTCCCACCTCCTACAGATAAAAAGGTAGTCTTGCCAACTACACAGCAGAATGGTTCTGCCCTATAGTCACCAGTTCTTGGGAGGGGAAGACATGACTGAAATGTCCTTCCATTTGGTGATGATTCTACATACCCCAGCGTTACTTTATATTGTGAGGGTCAGAGGGATAGGACATGTCCTGTAATTACTAACGTACTGCATAAACATGAAGGGGTTGTTATATTCTGAAGGTTTAAGCAAGCTATTCATGAAGCTGTTACCTGTGTTTGGAACATGGTACAGGTCACTGCAACCTCTTCCCCACCAAGCTTCTTAGTGAGCGTTGCCTTACAGAAGCCATATTGCTGCCCACAGAAAGAGAGAAGGAATGTTAACTGATTTTATTTTTTATTTTTTGAGTTGGAGTCTCACTCTGTTGCCCAGGCTAGAGTGCAGTGGCACACTCACGGCCACCCCAGCATCAACCTGATGGGCTCAGGAGATCCTTCTGCCTGAGCCTTCCAATTAGCCGGAACTACGGGCGCACGCTACAATGCCTGACTAATTTTGTTTATTTATTGTAGAGATGAGGTCTCACCAAGTTGCCCAGGCTAGTCTTGAACCCATGGGCTCAGGCAATCCTCTCACCTAGGCCTCCCAAAGTGCTGGGATTACAGGCTTGAGCCACTGCACCTGGTCTGTTAACTGGTTGACACTCCAATACAGCAAGACAAAAAAAAAAACCACTTAAATTCTTAATTCCTTTAAAAAAAAAAACAACCCTTTTTCTTAAAGGTTACAGTTTCTGCTTGGAGAAGATATATGTAATTCTATATATGACAAAAAAATTCCAAATACTTTGAGAGTGAGAGAGATCACCCACAGTGGTGACTCACAGAGAACTACTGTTAACATTGATGTATTTCTTTCTTATATTTATTTATTTCTTTATTATTTTTTCAGCTGGCATCTCATTGTCGCCTAGCCTGGAGTGCAGTGGCACACTCACGGCCACCCCAGCGTCGACTCAGTGGGCTCCGGCGATCCTTCTGCCTCAGCCTTCCAGGTAGCAGGAACTACAAGTGTGTGCTACCATGCCCGGTTAATTTTTTTTATTTTATTGTAGAGACAAGATCTTGTCAAGTTGCCTGGGATGGTCTCGAACCCGCGGGTTCAGGCAATCCACTCGCTTCAGCTTCCCAAAGTGCTGGGATTACAGGCTGCCGCACGGAGCCCGGCTTTCTTATTTTTAAATACTATTAAATAGAAATTTAAAATTGAGATCACTGTGACTATACCATGTTGTATCCTGTGTTTTTCACTTACTATAATAGCATTTTCTCATATTATTCATTATATTTTGAAAACATAATTTTTAGTGTCTGAATAATTTTCTGTTTACTAATGTGCCATATATTATTCAATGACACCCTCCTGTTGGGTACTTAGATATTATTTTAGTCATTTTATATCTATGATAAATCATCTTTATGGATACATTCTTGTCAAACATTTCAATGACTTATTTAGGCTAAAACTCTAGAAGGGAACATTCCTGGGTCAAGAATTTGAAAGTCTTTGTAGCAGAGTTATGTCTAGAAAATCCACACTTCAGACTCCCAGCAGCTGGGCATGACTGGGATGCATTGGGAGACTGCCTCTGTCTTTCAGGCTCCATGTGCTTCCAGTGGGTGAGATGACTTGGTGACAGCTCTTAAATGAGGAGGTGACACCCCACAGAATATCACCCAACCCCACAGGGAGGAGGCACTCTACACAGTGATTCTCTTTCCCCACAGAATATCACCCAACCCCACAGGGAGGAGGCACTCTACACAGTGATTCTCTTTCCACAACCACAAGATACGAACGACACAAGGGTGCTCTGTTTTACAACATGCTTTGCCTGGGTGGCAACAAGCTGAGGCCTTGACCCACTCACCTCTTCTGCCAGCAGATTGCATTTGGCTGGATCTGTGACCTCTTTAGCAACACAGTCAGTGGCAGCCACTGCGAACTCCACATAGGTAGAAGCTGGGAAAGGCTGATAAGGATAAATAAACATGCTCTTGAGGCAACATGATTCAGAACGAAAAGGCCAGAGAAGGAGAAGCTGAAGGGAAGTAGCAGGAGTCACCGCATGGCAAAACTTCAGGGAGCACCATTCACATAAACCACACGTGGGGCCCGGGAAACACACCCCTGACCGGCTCACATAGGGCAGCCGTTGTGTGACTGTGTCCTGAAGCACTTGTACTACAGAGGTGGGAGGTTGGGTCTTCCCTGAAGGAGCAGCAGATATCCATTGCCCACCATTCAGGGCAGAGGTGAGTTTTCAAATGGGAAATGGCAATCACAAGGCCAGCTTTAGACTGACATGAGTGGGAACACTGCCTCCCTCTAGCCCTCATCCTTGGGGCTGTACCTTGAGACCCAAGGTTTGGTTTGCTCCAAGATAGGGTGGGAGAGTGAAGAGTTGTGTACTCTTTCACCTATTTCATAGAGCAGGATCAAATGAAAAAAAAATGTAGATGGGAGTAAGGAAGATATTGCTTGTGCTTTTTCTTTCTTATAGTACTTAGAACATATGGACACTTAAAATCATAAAACATCTGCTATTTGGTACAATCTGGGGTAGGGATGCTCTGACAATCACATATTCTGATTAATAGAATTACCAACTATATTAATGTATTCCAAGTATGCCATGACTGGTGTCCAGAATACTAGTCTTCTTAAACATCAGAATTCTCTTGCATTCAAATATGATAAACCATCTGCAGTACATTGAGCTGTTTTCTCCCATGATTCAAAATGCATTTTAGGGTCCAGCCATTATAAGTTTGTCAGTGTAAGTAGGCTCATGGCTTTATAAGTATTAATTACCAGATTGTAGCAGATGTTCAGCAGGGATTGGAGATAAATGTATGGAGACCAGTGAATTTACAGTAATGCTTCTGGACTACGTGGGATCCTTTAGCTGCTAACACTGAGCTCTGGATTTAATTAAAACTGAGGGAGTGGGAATGTGCCTGGCTGCTGTATGTTAGAGCAGCTTTGCACAGGGCAAGTACTTAGGGTTTTTTAGGGCCTCATGACAGTCAGGGTTCTCCCACCCCTCAGGACACTTTCTTCCCCTTTCCAACCAACACCGTCTTGCCCTCTTGTAACTGCCCCTGTGTCTGTTCCTCCCTCACCCCTTCTCCACCATATACAGTACACTCCCAAAGTGCCACCAAACTGCCCAATCTGTCAAATGAATCTCAGTCTTTACCACAAGTTGACCCCGGGAAACTTCCACAAGCTGAAAATAGGAGCCGTTACTCTGAGCATTGAAGGCAGCCAGGGCAACTTCTGTAGCATGCACCACCCGGGTGTCGTTCAGCAGGGCCAACAGGGGACAGTTTGGGCACACCTTGCGCACATCCTCAGCTGAGTCTACACAGAGAGGAGAAATTCAGATCTAGGCAGTAATTATCCATGGCATTCACCCAGCTCTGCTTATTTAAAAAGGGTTAAGGAGCCAGGCTCGGTGGCTCAGCCTGTAACCCCGCGCCTTTGGGCGGCTGAGGTGAGTGGATTGCCTGAGCCCATGAGTTCGAGACCCGCCTGGGCAGCAAGACCTCATCTCTACAATAAATCAAAAAATCAGCCGGGCGTGGTAGCGCATGCCTGTAATTCCGGCTACTTGGAAGGCTGAGGCGGAAGGATCGCCGGAGCCCAGCAGGTCGAGGCTGCGGTGACCGGGTGGCCACTGCACTCCAGTCTGGGTGGCAGAGTGAGACTCCAACTCAAAAAAAAAAAAAGGGTTAAGGTAGCTGGGCACAGTGGCTCATGCCTGTAATCCAGAGGTAAGAGAATTGCCTGAGTCCAGGGGTTCAAGATCAGTCTGGGCAACTTGGTGAGACCTCATCTCTACAATAAAGAAAAATTAACTGGGTATGGTGGTACACGCCTGTAGTTTCAGTTACTTGGAAAGCTGAGGCGGAAGGATCACCTGAGCCCAGCAAGTTGAGGCTGCAGTGGCTGTGAGCATGCCACTGCATTCCAACCTGAGTTTTAGAGTGAGGCTCTAACTAAAAAAAATGTACAGGGTTAAGGTGTGCACCATATTATTTCAGGCATTTTCTCTGCTTCTTACTAAACCTTCAAGGACTTGTATCATGCTGGTTTTTCTGCAGAAGTCCCCACATCATGGGTAACTTTCACCCCCAATAAAAACAGTCCCTTAAAAAAACCAGAAATCCCAGAACCCAGGAAATTTGGCCTGTCCTTTTTCTCACTAATGAAGTGGCTAGAACTAATTAACTTGAAAATTATTAAGATCCTTTTCCCACTCTTTCTACTAGGTAAATAATAATAATAATAATAAATCATCTCTACCTGGACTGGAATCACATTTTGCAAACAACACAGTAAACTGGCCATTTTTTTTCATCAACCGGACATCACAGTCTCCTTCCACAGCCTAGAGAAATAAACCCACATGAGGGTCCAGAAGGACAGCTGGCCTTTCACTGATCACATGGGAGGGGTCCCTCCAGGCATGGTTGTCAAAGGTGACCTTCAAAAAAAATCACCTTCCATATAATGGACCTTGAACATCCAATGCAATACTATAAGAAAATGACTGACGGTACTGGGAAACTATGGGGAGGGGGGGATGGGATTAACAGTAGCAAATATCTGTCGGGGGATGGGAAAACACCTCTTATCAATAGGGTGCCTGAATGAAACGTAATTGTACACCTAACCCTTAACTGTACCCCACAAAACCATAATAAAAAATACTGATTAATGGAAAAAAAAATCACCTTCACTGGGTACTATTGAAACATGACACTTTCTGCTTTTAGGGAGGGCTACAAGAAGAAAGTTGAAAGACTATAAAAATCAGTCCCAGGAAAGGCAGCATCAAATGGCAATTTTAGAGACTGTACACTGGCTAGCCAAGCAGGTAGACTGAGGAACTGGATGAAATAGGCCTGCTCTTTGCTGAACCATGGTAGAACTGACCCCAGGCACCACCCACAGGCACCCTAAGAAAGGCACTCACATGGTCCACTAGCTGCCTCGCGGTGCAGTTTTCCAGAGGGGTTGGGTCTCGTACATGGCAGATGGTCTCCAGCGTATCTAATTCAAGCTCAAATAACTCTCCGAGCGGCCACTGTGGAGACACAGAACGAAGAAGTGAGCAGCAGCCCATCCCCCAGATCCTGCTGTGTGGGTCAAAGTATGAGCCTGCATTGGGCTTGAGCCTGCCTCCTTTTTGGAGAGGTGAGGATGACTCTTACTCTAAGTCTGCAACTCCATCTACCTCTAAACTGGCCTATGGACAGAACAATGACCAGGGCTTCTCTGATCTTCCTCTGTCAACTGGGCAAGTGCCAAATAGTGCTTGCAAGGAAGGAGGGGACATGGGTTTGGACAAGGTAATAGAGCCACAATGCTCACTCGGAGCTCTATTTGTAAACTAAAAATGAGTGTTGATACTTATTTTTTAATTTTTAAAATTTCACCCTCAGCTAGTGGTTTGGAAGATTCAGCTTTGGATCTTCTCAGTCAAGCTACAAAGTAAGGAGGTACAGGGTAATATGTTACAGCCTTTTCTTTACTCATTCTCTCTCTCTCTCTCTAACTTTCTATTCTTCCCTTCTCATTATTTAGTCCCCTTCCTTTCCCTATTTTCTTTTCCTTCCTAAAGATCTTTGTTGCTTCTGTCCTTGGCTTTTTCTTTTTTTTGTCTTGTACGGTAGTAGATGGCTAGATGCAAAGATGCTGCTCTCTGCTACTCCCCCTGCTGGTGATGATAGGAACGAGCACGTCTTCCTCTGACTGAAAACTGTATGTCTCTTGTGTAGACATGAAGACATTACCAGGAAGCCAGTATAAATCCTTGGAGTTTTTCTTGTCAGTTAATCTGTTCTTGTGTCCTTTCCTCAAAGCCTAGAAAATACAGAATGCCTTTTTTTCTCTCTACTCAGCTCCGCTTGCCTCTCATTTTGGTTCTGCCCAACTCAGTATTTGAAGCTTCAGAATCTCCTCCCTCAAAGGAAGTTCTGTATTTTACGGTATAGAGATGTGCCCGAGGTAACTTTCTGAAAACATTCAGAGCTGCGGTGAATAGGAGCCAGGTACACCTGGGTTCCTCCAGGAAAGTCTCTCTCAAGTTCTGTCTTTAGCGAAAAACACAATGCCTATTCATCACCTTTCCCCTCAGGTTTGCATGTTGTGTGTTTATTTTCCCTGAATGGATCAATGTTTCTGAACCACCATTATACATTCATGTGCCTTCAGAACTCTTAAAACCCATGTGGGGCAATCCTGATTTCAATATCTTGTCCCTTTGTGAGCGCAAATGTCAGTCATCAGTTGTCAGTCGTTGGGACTTCCTGGTATTTACCTTATTTTCCTTCCTAGACTGTAAACTCTTGTGGGTACAGACTGAGTCTTTCTCATCTTTGAATTAGGTAGAACCATTAAAACTGCCAGTGTTTGCTTTCTTTTGATATGCAAAAATGGCAATTTTATATGGTTCAACCTAATATCTCCCACAGCATCTGGCACTGGTTCTTGCCTAAGAAAAGCTTGTAAGAAATGTTTGCTGAAAGAATGATCCTTAGTCAGACATAAAATCTAATTTCAAAACAGGCAGTAAACAGATGACTTTTTCCCCACCTCTCTAAAACTCTTGACTGATCCTTATGGCATAGTTTACAGCTTCATCTTTGTTGTCACTGGCTTCAGGCTGCACTGGTTCCTGTCTGGCATGTGAGGAAGTGAATCCTGTTCATGCCAAGACTTCTCTCTGAGATGTGGGTAATGGCCTTTGGGAGGCAGCTAGTATAGACGAAGGAACATAGGTCTGGAATTAAATCCCAGCCTGAATGCTTACTAATTATATGACCTTGGGCAAAAAAGGACAATGCCTCGGAGTCCTTGTTTCTTCTTGTGTAAGACAAGGAAATCATGCCTACCACACAGGTCTGGAGGGCAGGGCAGGGTGGAGGGTGGATGAGATAATCCATGAAACAACCTGGCACAAATGCCAGTTTTAGTCGCTCTCTGTCTTCATCAGAGAGAAATAAAAACAGATAAGTCATATTCAGCCTGTGGTAACTTGGCACTAGAAGCTGGCCTCTTGGGCCAGTATTCCAGCAAGCAGTGCTTTCCACCTGTGATCTGCAAACTATCATTTTGCATTAGAGGCCTTTTTTTTTCTTCTGCATGCTGCCCCACGCCTCACCCAGCACCCTCTTGAGACCCATGACTGCAGTCCAGAATGTCTCTCCTCTTGTCTTCTGCCTGTACCTGCCTTTGCTCCAGGGAAGAAATCAGAGTTTACCCCTCTGCAGTTTCATGTGTGTTGGGAGTTGCCGACCTTTTGAGGCACCCAGTTGAGCTCCACATAGTTCTGTCAGTTCATATGCAGCAGGTTCACTTACCTTATACCACACCTTCACTTTGTCAATCTGATTCAGGATTTGCTTGAAACCCTGGAGAAGTTTGCTATTGATGTAGTTTATGGCCACCAGGGCTGCTTGCTCAGTTTCTGGGTCATCGCAGTTCAGTTGTCTATAATTCAGCCCTGGGCCGTGCGGAGCCGAGTGGCAGCCCCAGAGTTGAGCAAGACAGAAGAGCAGGATGAGGGACTTCATGGCTGTCCCAGAGAGGCCCCGGCAGGTGGGCAGGAGACTGAAGACTTCAGGACCAACCTAGATCCTCTGCTGGGAAAGGCAGACCCATGAAGGATGATGGCCTTTATTTATCTGTTGGAGCCAGCTGGAATAATTGCATAAGAACGTAGGATGCTTTCTGTTCTGGTTCCAAAAAAGTTCCTGCAAATATCAGCCCTGGAAAAGCAAACAGGTTAGGACATCACTGGTTCCCAAGAAATCTGCCAAAGTCCATGCTGCTGCTGTTGTTGAGATGCTCCAAAGTCTGCTTGGAACATGGTAACAGTAGCAAAGAGAGAAGACCGTTGAGGGGACAAGGTGGACACAGTTGGTCCCAGAGTGCAGTGGGCTTGGCAGTAGAGGAAGCATCCTCCATTGTGATATGAACATGCTAGGGGGAAGGGGGGTTTCCTCTCTGTGAGAGGGAAGAGGGATATTCAGCAATTTGATAAAATCCTCTAATGTTGGGGAGATTCACTTTTCCAAGAGGGGCCCTCCAGGGAGAATAAGACCCACAGATACAACAATGGGACAGATGCGCTGTCGGAGACACAAAGGTCTTGGGTAAGATTCTTGGAGAAAAGAAGGAGGAGGGAGATGTTTCTGCCTAAAGTGGGGAAAGGAGAGGGTCTTGTGGGAGGGCCAGAGAGGGATATGGCCAGCAGAGCCCTGTGGGTTCCCTGCTCCTTTCTCCTCCTTTCTCCAGACCTGGATGTCAGGGACCTGCATGTGACAGCTCAGACAGGCACTGACTTAGGTCTCCTGGGTGGCTGAGTTTGATTGGCATCTGTCGCCGTGTGTCCCCAGCCAGTACACTAGTGCAGCAGAGGGGAGTCCTGGTTTAACAAGCATTCATTTGACTATGTTCTGGATTTGAGTCCAACACTGCAAGCTGAGACCCTGCCGGAGCAGCTAAGAGCACAAATGCTCGGTGGAATCATAGCATCTTCCTAGCGAGAACCCAGCGCCACAATATTGACTCCAGATACCTTTGTTTTTTGAGTTGAAGTCTCACTCTATCACCCAGGCTGGAGTGCAGTGGCACGTTCATGGCCACCCCAGTGTCCTCCTGCTGGGCTCCAGTGATCCTTCTGCCTCCAAGTAGCTGGAACTACAGATGCGTGCTACCACGCCTGGCTAATTTTTGATTTATCGTAGAGACAAGGTCTTGCCAAGTCTCCCAGGCTGGTCTTGAACCCGCAGGCTCAGTCAATCCACTCACCTCAGTCTCCCAAAGTGCTGGGATTACAGGCTGAGCCACTGAGCCCGGCCTCCAGATACCTTTTAAGTGACTTTGACAATCCTAGGTGTAACCTCCAAGAAAGGAGGGCAGATTAGTGAGATGCTTGGAAAATATCTTATAAGGACGAAGTTTGGTTTAGCCTGGAGCAAAGAAACCCTGACATGGAGACCAACATGTTCTTCCAATATTTAGAGGTCATCATCATGTGTGGGTGGGTTTGTTCTGTAGTTTAATGTTGCTTCAGAGGAAAAATAGTTAATTAAGAAAGAAGAAGAAGGGACCTTCTGAGGGAAGCTTAATATTTGATTTTCTGGGGTGGGGATTAGGGTGGAGGAGGTGAAAGGTGGTAGTGATGGGGTGGAGAAGGTCGCTGTCAGTACTGTTTTCACATTTACTCCCAGCTCTGCTTATATGCTCACAGAGAATTTTTGTTTGTTTGTTTTTTTAACGAGACAGTGTCATGCTTTGCCATTCAGGCAGGAGGGGAGTGGCGTGATTATAGCTACGTGCAGCCTCAAATACCTGGGCTCAAGTGATCCTCCTGCCTCAGCCTCCTGAGTAGCTGGAACTATAGGCATGCATTACCATGCCCGGTCAGTGTTTGTTAATATTTTTTGGATACAGGTCTCGCTATGTTGCCCAGGCTGATCTCGAGATCCTGGCCTTAGGTGATCCTCCCATGTCAGTGCTGGGATTATAGGTATGAACTACCACATGCAGCTAGAATTTTTATTTTTAATGAGTACACAGATATTTAATAGAGAATGCTGGTAAGCCTTTACAATGTAAACTTAAACAAGGTACCATTTTTTGTTGTTTGAGCTGGAGTCTCACTCTGTCACCCAGACTGGAGTCCAGGGGCATGATCACGACCACTGCAGCCACAACCTGCTGGGCTCAGGTGATCCTTCCACCTCAGTCTTCCAAGTAGCTGGATCTACAGGCACACTTTACCTCACACAGATATTTTTTTGATTTATTGTAGAGATAAGGTCTCACTAAGTTGCCCAGGCTGGTCTCGAATCCCTGGGCTCAGGCAATCCTCTTGCCTTGGCCTCCCAAAGTGTTGGGATTACAGGCTTGAACCACTGTGCCCGGCCTACAAGGTACCATTTAAATACTAATTTTTTAAAATAAAAAACCCTGCTTTTTTTAAAAAATGTAAAGTCAGGGGATGCATGTGCAGATTTGTTATATAGATATATTGCATGATGGTGAGGTTTGGACTTCTACTGAATCCATTACCCAAATACTGAACATGGTACCCAATAGTTGTAACCCTTGTCCTTCCCTTCCCCCTTCACAGGTCCCCACCATCTGTTGTTCTCACACAGAATCTTAATGACAGAAGTTCCGAAGGTGTAATTGGCTCATGACTCTTACAGACACAGAACAAGCGCTAGTTATCTAGCAAGAAGATCCTTAACACCAGGGGCAACTTTCCATCAGCCATTGACTCGGGGCCTTGAATCCTGAACATTTTGTGGATGCTATGCTTTTCTTTTATATAATCTTTAAAAACACTAAATATAGTATTTTTACCATATTTACTGAATGGTTGAAAACTATGAAATTACTTAATGTTTGAAAACTATGAAAAGCATTCAGTGAATACACATTTTGCAAGTCATAAGCTCAGCTGTATAAAACACAACTATTTTCTACAACCCAATTGAATTTCTGACTTTGAACCCTCTTCTGTGAAAATATAATCTAGTCATTTCTAGGGAAACTGAGTTTTCAGACACTTGGTCTCACTTAGGATTGTTTGCCCTTTCTGTTTCCGACCCTGGAGTAAAAAATAAGCCTGAAGCTGAAGGGGCTAACTTGTGCAAATACCCCTTTAGTCAAGGGCAGAAAGGGGTGTCCTCCTTTGCTTTGCGCTGCAAGGGACTGTGCTGGCGTCCTTCTGCCAGGTAACCAGTCTCCTCTGGCCCTCAGGCACATCTTACTGACAGGTCCTAAGTGTCCCCATCTAATCTACAGTAAGAAAGTCCTTTCTGATCCCTAGATGAGGGGCCCTACTATTACAGCTATGAGACCATTTGTAGACCTCAGGCCTTCTCTCAGCTAAGTGCCACTCCCTTCTTTAAGCATGGGGAAAGTTAGCTGCTGTACTCACACAATGAGTAGAGGGCTTCATGAAGCCACCTCCAATCCCATCTGCCTGGCCACTCCCTGCAGTCAAGGGTCCTCCACTGCTCTGGTGCCATCCTGCTACTTAGGGGGCTTCTCCTTGCAATGTCATGTCTTCCTGTGCTACCTCTCCTCTGGGGCCTCCCACCACCACCCTACCCAAGTGAGCTTGTGTCTCCTTTGCTCTCGGAGTTCCTCATTGGTCTGAAGGATCCCAACAACCGGAGGGTTCAGGAAGAAAGAAAAAGTGAGAGGATCATAAATCCTCTCGGATCATTTTTGTCTTGTATGTGGAACATTTTTTGGTACCTTTGTTCTTGGATCTTCCTTTGGTGATAATTTTCTGTTTTATTTTCTTTATTTTTCTTTTCCATAGACACCTGTCCTGTGACCATTGGTGACAATTTCTAAAACAAGAGGTTTTTAGCTGTTAGGCATTTAGCTGATGCTAGATAAGCAAGGCATCTCACCTACCATTCTGCCACATAGAAACAGAAGCACAAAGCCATCCACAGTCTCATCACCCAGAGATAAACAGCAATAGTGTTTTGGTACACTGGCATCTTGTCTTTTTTATGCAGAATATGATTTTAATATAAGTTAGATTGTATTGCATATACAACTGTTACATTTTTTTTTTTTTTAGTTGGAGTCTCACTCTGTTGCCCAGGCTGGAGTGCAGTGCACACTCATGGCCAGCCCAGCCTCATCCTGCTGGGCTCCGGCGATCCTTCTACCTCAGCCTTCCAAGTAGCCGGAACTACAGGCATGCGCTACCATGCCCAACTAAGTTTTTTTATTTATTATAAAGACGAGGTCTCACCAAGTTGCCTGGGATGGTCTCGAACCTGCAGGCTCAGGCAATCCACTCGCCTCGTCCTCCCAAAGTGCTGGGATAACAGGCTGTGCCACCGCGTCTGGCCTACATATTTTTAACTTTATAACTTTATTTTCCTGTATCAGCAAATAAACTTAAAAATATGCTTACAATGGCTATTACCTATTATTTGATTCTGTGTATCATGATTTATTTAACCATTCTCTTATTGTTGGGCATTTAGTTTGTTCTCAAATGATCACAATCATATAAAAAGCCACGACAAACTTTATTTAGGAATCTTTGGCTTTCTGGTTTGTTTGTTTGTTTGTATGAGATGGGGTCTTGCTCTGTTGCCCAGGCTGGAGTACCGTGGTGCCATCATAGCTCACTGTTGTCTTGAACTCCTGGGCTCAAGCAATCCTCCCACCTTAGCCTCCCGAGTAACTGAGACTACAGGTGTGTACCACCATGCCCAGCTGATTGATTTGGACATTTTGATTTTTTTTTTTTTTTGAGTTGGAGTCTCATTCTGTCGCCCAGACTGGAGTGCAGTGGCCACTCCCGGCCACTGCAGCGTTGTCCTGCTGGGCTCCGGCAATCCTTCCGCCTCACCCTTCCAAGTAGCTGAAACTACAGGCGTACACTACCATGCCCGGCTCATTTTTTTGATTTATTGTAGCGATGAGGTCTCGCCAAGTTGCCTAGGCGGGTCTTGAACCTGCGGGCTCAGGCAATCCACTCACCTCAGCCTCCCAAAGCGTGGGATTACAGACTGAGCCACCGAGCCTGGCTTGGACATTTTGAAAGTTCTTAATTTTATGATCACATTGCCTATTTGACTACCCCAAGTTATACCCCCTTCCCTTTAATTGCTGTGTTTTGCTAACTCAGTTGTGTTCTCTTTTCTCCTGCTACTGCATCCATGCTAAGTTTTGTGGGAACTTA